ACCGCGCCTCCACGCCTGTGGACAGCATAACGCACACCGCGCCTCCACGCCTGAGGACAGCATAACGCACACCGCGCCTCCACGCCTGAGGACAGCATAACGCACACCGCGCCTCCACGCCGGAGGACAGCATAACGCACACCAGGCCTCCATGTCTGAGGACAGCACTGGGCTAAACGGAAAGACAGGATGTCGCCATACTATACAGGATGCCTGGTAGTCAAAATTAACCCAACCACGGCAACATGCACAGACAAATGAAATGTGTCACACACACCAAGACACGGATACCTGATATGAGGCTGAAAATAGTACAAAAACATGTTAAAATATTTCTGTATTGAAGTAGCTGTCATCCAGGTGACCCTACTGCCAATACACAGCATAAAATGCAGCCCGTGGGACGGCCATCTGCACGGCTGCCATTCTCTGTAGAGCAGTATAGAAATGTGTGGGTGGCTTCAAACATTCTGTACTGACAAAAAGTGTGAAATTTTCCCGCAACTATGAGTGTGGGATATGAGAAGTCTGGTGGAAGGTCTATGCGCGCGTGTATGTGTGTGTGTATGTGTGTGTGTATGTGTGTGTGTATGTGTGTGTGTATGGGTGTGTGTATGTGTGTGCGTGCGAGCATGCGTGCATCGGACACAGCTAGTGGGCCAACAAGTAGTCAAAAATTTGTTCCCCTCACCCACCCACACACACCCCCGCACACACACACACCTCCAGCAAAAACTTTGAAACCAACAAGCGCAAGTCTTCAAACTGCAGCATCCCCCGATGCCACCATTACTGGCATATAAATGCAGCCCATTATAGCAGCCGATTATAATGGCCCTATACCATGACACCTGTCACACACAAACACACACTAACTCCCAGCCGTAACACAGAGCCACACAGCCCCATTCAAATGCACTTCCACGTATCGATATCCTGGCCTCATATCCATATAGGCTTCCTCACTGTAGAGTCTCCAGCAGAGCTCCACCAAGTTTTCAATAAAGAAACTGAACACCGTTGGAGACGGATGACAGTGCAGTCAGGTGAAGAGAAGGATCAGGTAAACATCAGAAGAAGCGTGTTCTTTACACAGGTTTCGGACCACCTCATCCTAGAACCGGCCCCCTTCCATCTGGAGAGAAATGTCGTCCTTTGATTCTGAAGACCCCCCCCCATGGAACAGATGTCTCCTGTAACCCAGGAGCTCCCAGTACTCCAGGCACACGGAGACACCATCTGGAACTGGAGCTCAAGTCCCTCCAGATTGTGTGTGAGCACTGGTGTGTGTGATTGTTTTCATGGGTAACGTGTGCGTGTGTACGTGTTTACATTGGCTGTTTGTAAATATGTTTGTGTCTCCATGTGTGTGCGTGTGCGTCCAAACACACCAGAGTCTTTTTCACCTAGTTTGTTTCTGCATGTTTTGTGGCAGGAAGTGCTCTGATCCCTGAGCTAAAACGCTGACTGTAAGAATCAACGGTGCAGGGTCACGCTGCCACCGTCCCACAATCTCTACACAGGATCACACTGTTACAGTCTCACACAGTCTACACAGGATCACACTGTTACAGTCTCACACAGTCTATACACAGGATCACACTGTTACAGTCTCACAGTCTCTACACAGGATCACAATGTTACAGTCTCACATATTCTCCACACAGGGTCCCACTGTTACAGTGTCACACATTCACTACATTGGGCCACTGTTACAGTATCACACAGTCTCTACACAGGGTCGCACTGCTACTATTGGTTAAGTCAACGCGAACTACTCTGCTGGCAGACCACTCCTAAGGACCAGTAACCCAGAACAGATAGTAATCAGAAATCAAATGAAAACCAAGCTTGACAGCAACAACAGAAAGCAAGTGGAACTAATGAGACATGGAGATCGATTACAGATGAATAGGTTGTGGTTAATGGAGAAATAAACAGACATGAATATATTAGTGTAATGTGTTCTAACCATGGTAAGGAAACTGCACGCCATCGGATTCATGTTTAATCTTCCTCTCCTGCACACTGGCCAAGTGGTGCTGCACTGAAAGTCCAAAAGGGAAAAGGGCATTGTTAAAAAACAGGGGGGGGGGGGGGGGGTTTGAGAGAAACACACAGAGAGGGGTATAGACTGAGGAGGGGCTGACTGGGGGGACGTGTGCCCTTTTCTCCAAAGCTGACAATGAGGATGGCAGTGACGATGATGTATACGCATGATTAAGAAGGTCAGAGCGAGTCTGAGTTCACAAGGCCCTCACTGCCCTGCACCAGCTGAAACTAGTTGAGACTGGAATTTATGCTGCAAATATTATATCAATTGCTTTTAAATAGTTATTTGGACAGATGGACTGCTCCACCTTATTCAATAGTAGATCTACACATACAGCATAAGCAATCCAGATGACTAAAGCCTGGGGCCATCAGCCCTTCCGGCTGTTGGTGAGAGTCAGTGACTGCCTGTCAAAGCTAGATGGTGAAACCAAGCTCTCGGATTGGGCTGTATGTCAGCCATCACCTTCAGTTGTGCTGGAATGTTCCAGCGCAAAGTTTCACAATCATAATGAGCCGACAGGCGCTGATCGTTCGTTTGGACTTGGTTGGTGCTAGATTTTTGCCCTTGACTTGGTGTGTACCCAGCGTAATGCAGACAATTTCTGCTGTTCAAAACCAATATCCATCCAAGCTAGAAATCCTCCGAGAGGTATATGTGTGACCACAATTAAAAGGCAGATCAAAAGGCAAATTTAAAGGCAAACTGTCACGGGTGAAAATGTAAGGCAGCTCTGAATAATGCAGGAGGAACACAGGGAGTTGGCCTAAATGTTTCCCTAATTTAGCAACGCTAAACATTTGGTAGCCATAGTAACAATCTGCTCTTGGCCACTGTCATTAGAATCCTTCTTAGGACATTAGAATGACTGAAGGGTGACATTTTAGTCCACCTGTCCAGCTATGATTTTAATTGATCAAAAAGGCTACATAATTTGGATGAGACACAGAAATAAAGTTACCTTGGAGATCGTAATATGAATTTTTTATTTTATTTTGACTGATGTTTGACCAAATCTCTTAATTGTTAAATATATACTAGAAAGTCTACAAAATGTAAAAACATAAATTGTGAACGTAACACCCTAAAGAAAGTTATAACACATTTGCATAAGATTAACCACACTTACAGAAAATAACCCACTCCAGTCATTCACCTTCAGAAAAACAGCAGCTGCTGTGAGCTTAGTTCTAAATTTAGAATTTCTGCTTGCAAGTTTTTTTTTTTTTTTTTAAATAGAAGGTATGTGGTGTTGATTTGAGGAAATGACTAGGTTTTAGTGTAATAATTTCACATTTAATCTGTAATCTATAATGACTTCTTTACAATGTGACAAAGATGCTGGGCTGGGCTGGGCAATCTTATCCACGGCGCGCCGGTGTGTATGCAGGTTTTTGGGATAACCTCTGTTCAAACCCAGGTGTGAGGACTCTTCTGCCAATCAGTCCCCTAATTAGTAATCTAATTAGGGAGTTTCAGCGAGAACCTGCACACACAACGGCTCTTTCAAGATAAGACTGTCCACCCCTGATCTACAATGTCCTATCATGATACAATCATTATCCAAAAATGTCATTCCAATAAGAAGTCATTCTAATGACAATTAGCCAAGAATATCAGGCAAGCAAATATAGACAAGACTACTCCAAGCAAATATAGACAAGACTACTCCAAGCAAATATAGACAAGACTACTCCAAGCAAATATAGACAAGACTACTCCAAGCTGTATCAATCGAAGGATGCTAAAATCCCGACATCTATAATATCAAACCACATATATATTCAAGGGAGCAGCAAAACTCAATCTAATATGTACAAAAATTCTACTTGATCTGGACCCTGAACACACTCCTGTGTTGCACCACAAACTCATTTGAACCAGATTACAAGTTACATGGAACTATGCATGCGGCCATGTAGAGCGTCACAGCGCCACAGAGACAGAGCTACATGGAAGTGAAAAGAACCATGTAGAACCACAGAGGCAAACAGAGACACAGAGACTTACAGAAAGGTACAAAGAAACATGCTGAACCACACAGAACCACACAGAGACGCAGAGCTATTGGAAGGGATAAAGAAACATGCAGAACTACATAGGGACAAAGGGAGACAGAGAGAGAAAGAGCAGAGAGAGAAAGACAGACGGCTACAGGAAGGCGTAAAGAACCACACAGAATCAGACATAGAGAACTACAGGAAGGTACAAAAAATCATGTAGAACCACACAGAACCAGAGACATAACTATACTGAGGTGCAAAGGAACCATGCAGAATCACAGAGAGAGAGCTAGAGACAGACATCTACAGGAAGGTACAAAGGGCCATAAGGAACCAGAGAGAGATATACAGAGCTACAGGAAGGACCAAACACCATGCAAGAACCACACAGAGCCCCACAAAGCTACACCAGAGCCACATTGATTCATGCTCAGTCCATGATCTGTGCCTCTTTTGAGTTGATCGGGGCTGGACTATAACGCTCTGAAGACTGAATGATCCAGTGACTTAAATCTGACAATACTTTGGCCTGTGTGTGGCCTGAGGATTCTTAGGTGCAGAACTCCTTACATAAACCCAGAATTTCACAATGACCTGCAATCTGTGCGTTAGAAGGGACTTTCTGTCAGGTTCATAATCACAGTAACAAGCAATAGTAACAAGTCTTTAAGGAGTCATGCCTTCCTGCGCATTAAAGCTCCTGGATCTCAAGTAACCAGCTTAACAGTATCGATACGTCCGATTCTTTCTACCCGAAAATGAAGCGTTACAATTAAGTCAGTGATCAACTGCCAGGGATCAACTTCAGGACATGACTAGTAAAAGTTGTATTTAATTTTCATAACTGACACTACAAAATGACACTACTAAAATCACTGTTTATGAGTTGTAACTATTATCTTTTGTGATACTAATGCAAAAATATGCAATTTGCAGCATGATAAATTATGCTGGTGGCATTCGCCAGCTGATCTTGCATACAGATGCTCTGCTGTGTTTTCTCGCTTGGTGCAGTGCTGATTATTCCATCTGAGGAACCCGTCACAGTGCAAATTGTGTCACCTCATCGCTGCCCTTCACAGCTGCAGGGTGTGATGCAGCAGGCAGTGGGAAGACCCCTCATCTGCCATTAGACATGTAAGTCAAGTGACTGAAGAACGCCCTAAAGCTGACAGGGCCAGAGCTGTTCCCCCCAGTATGGATGCATTGGCACTGTGGGGGGGTGGGGATGGGGAGGATAAACAGGGTTCAAA